TGTTTTCTTTCCGATTAACCTGATCAAGGTGCACGGATGTCTGAGCGGAGAAGTTCGCGAATTCGAGGAAGTACTGGAAAAGCTCGAGTATTGCCAAGATAACGGGTGGTTTAAGGAACACGATCGCCTTGTCACGGGGGCAATTCACCATTGTGAGGAAAGAGAGTATTTTAGCATGCCTTGGGTCTTGAAAATAGAAAAATCAGCAACCTACTCTTACCAAGATAACTGGAAACAAGCTAAGAAACTGCTTAAGTCGGTTATAAATTCTGACATGGTCGAAGATTCGGATGTCATATAAGGAAAAGCCTACTACTTACTTGTGGCTCACATGAGAAGGAAACAAAAATACCGGCTGTACACAGAACTTTGCCCGGCTGCTTCATCAGTAATTGACATAGTACTGTTGCTTCCCCATGCTACTTCCCTGAGGTTAATAGTCCTCGAAGAAATTAAGACTGTTTCAAGTCACAGAAAACACGATTTCGTCGCTTACATTACACGTTATCTCCTTGTGTGACCCTGTATCTTCAATTTGCGAAGCAAATTTGCCCAGAGGATGCATTGGGAAGCATATTATGTTACATATGAACGCCCATTTGAAACGTGTTAAAATTACGGGACAAACAACTCGATATTTTTCTGCTCGTGTCATGTAAACTTTGAGTCGCGATTTTAAATTGATTTTATCTCATATCTAGTGTATTTTTATTCGTTATATTATCTTATAATTATGCCATAGTTTTAACATCCGTATTGTACATAATTTTTTAGAGGGCCACTGGTTTGTAAGTATTTATATACTCTTTTAGTGTTACCCTCTTTAAATAAAGTCTTTACTTACTTACTTAATTGAAAGGGTATTTAATTTTTATGCGCGTTAAAAAGTGCTGTGAAGTGAGGAATAAAATGTTTTTCGCAGATAATTTTGCTTAGGTAAGTGACTTGTTCAACTATGTATATTAGGATCTTCAATAAAAGAGGCTGTTTTGATTAATACTATCTTCAAGTTCGTTTTGAAAACCTTACTCTCCCATCATGGAATACTAACTGTACTTCCGCGTTCCCCGCTAGAGTAAATGGTCTGAAATTGATTGTGAAATCCAATCACCGAGGAACCGTCGGTTTATGGTTCGTCGCTCTAAATTCAAAGCGAAAATAGCAAAATAGTTTTAAAACTACCGTATTCTTGGGAATGTGATCTTTCTTCTGTTTCTAGCTCTTCGTCTTGAATGAGTAAAGGAAGTACACAACTATTTTTCAGCGTGGCTTCGAGTCTGTCACCCCGGTATCAACTTGACCATGGTACCACGGTTTTTCACTGCCAACCAAGTTTGATCATGTTTGGCGGTGTTAATATGGCCATTGTGGCTGGCCAAGGTGTGTATTCCACTCTTGACCATGGTACATTGCCAACCATGGCCAAAATTAATTAATAATGATTATTTCACTTAAAAGCAGTTACTGTAGTAAATAAAGAGAACGTCACTGCAGTAAATATCAAAACAGTATATTTTCTTCAAACATTTCCATTTACAAAACAGTCCTAAGAAAATATGCACGCTGAATGGTTAAAAGTCATGTTTCTATTACTCGATAGAAACACGGAACATGTTTCCTATTTCTTAATATTACACACCATGATTGTACTGAAAATCACCTCATT